GGGTTATTAAACGTGGGAAGAGATTACTTGAGCTGGAGACTGTTTTGTGCAGTGAGGCGAAGCAGCAAAAGCTTGAGCGATTGCTGGAGGCCTGGAAAGTTGCCATCTTCTTCACCAGAAAGACAGGGGCCTTACCAAATATAATATGGTGTTGGGGTAACCTTTGCACTTCAGGGATGACACGGGGATAGTCTTACGAATCATTCCCATCCCCCACGCTGAGCCACCAGCAAGCCTGCTGCACTTGCTCCTGTCAAACCTGGCATATTCTGCGTGTTCCCTTAAGCTTTCCGCCCATATCCTGTCTCGTACCTCAATCGGTGGTCTGACAGGCCACGCCTCAAACGACGTTTCGGGGCAGAGCGGGTGCCCTACAGCCCATTGAAGCTTCTGTGGGGTTTCAGGGCCCGGTTCGGGATTGGAGGTCTACTGCTATGCTGTAGAGCTTTCGATTTCGATTTCGGGTTGCAGTGTCAAGACGCACGCACTACATGTCCATTGCGTTTCAGATTTCGGGCAGCTGCCGGGGAAATGCACACAAGCATCTACATTTTTCACACACGCACTCACATGAAGATGTTTCTGTGTGTGAACATATCTCCTCGGCTCATACGCGCCTAGGTCATCAAGCAACTCTCGACCCGAAGAATCCGGCACTCTGGCCGCGGCGATGTTGGAAGGATCCGACAGAAGCCCTGCAAAGACATTCAGACTGTACTTTTTCCAGACTTGCGGTTTGCAGTCCAGTGTAGCTGCGCGACACTTAGGATAATTGCACGGTCCTCCTAAGTGTACGAGCCGGCAAATTTCTATGCACTGCTTTGGGTTGTGAGCTCGTGACATGCCTATGTGTTGTGCCTTCGTTATGTCATCTCAAAGGCGGTTTCCTAATTTTGAAATGGAGTTGTATTTTTTCCAGGAGGTATTTATTTTGTTTTTTTATTGCTGCCGCTCTGGTCCCGTGGTCTTTTGGTCCTCGATGGAAAAGCCAATTGAGGGGGCATGTTGAAGATACATGATGAACCGAAGTCGCCAAATGAGGGGGCGTCTTTAAGCTGTATGATGGACCGGAATCGCCAAATGCGAGGGCATGCGAAAGATATATGATGAACCGGAGTCGCCATCGCAAGCCCCCGCGAACAGGTCGGAAGTCCCCTAAGCAGAAGAGGAGGCGAAATACAGTCGCGCACTTAGGCCTGTGTTACGGAACTGAAAACAAAATAAATTCCCAGACTAAAATCAAAAATGCTGATTTATGCTTGTTGCCTTTTGGAATGGTGGATGTGAAATGAAGTCTAGAAGGCCAGACAGGCCAAGGTTGTCAGAGCAATTCTACACTGCGAACGTGACAATCGTCGACCAGCTCTAACGAAGGCATGCTGTCGGGGTTTGGGTTCCAGTGTCGTTGCAGCCTTCCATGAGACTGTCTTCTGGGCTTTGGTTCTGTGCACGGAGTCCATACTCTATGGAGAGTAGTGACTGAGGTGACGCCACTGCATGACCCGTGCCACCCCGGACTCTCCAGCAGTGCCCAGCAGGATAACGACGCGTCATCGCGAAGGTGGCACGATGCAGCGGCTTCGATTCGTCGACTTCAAGCGCGCACGGAAGGCCAGACCAGGCATGTGCAACAGTATCCTCGGTTGTTCATGACTCAGAAGGGTCGGCAAATTTGATCGCGGCCTGGCCTTGCAGACCCTATCAGGGTTACATAAGTGAGGCTCTGCAATCTTACTTGTTTGTTTTCCCCGCGTCATGTCCGGAGGACATTCCAGCTTCCGTTCTGCGTATTGAGTACTCTCCAGAGCGCACGTCGCACGTGGCCCTCATCCAGTACGAGGACGTGGAATTGCATGCTTTGTTCGGTCCACTTCATTCCATGAACTTATCGGGCTGTGTATCCGCAGTTGTTCATCCGAGGGCCTTCATCTAGAAGAGCTTCGTCGTAGTCCAATCTGAGATTCCGGTCAGGATGGCGTCTTGAGCTACATCCTGGCCCCGCTTACCCTGCGCCCAGGAGACCAGGCAAGTCTGGCGGAAGAAAAGCAGATACCAGTAGCCTTCGCGTATTGTTCTGCTTACTGTACACCGGTTCGAAATTTGCCACTTCTTGCTTTGTAGATGTTTGACACCGAGAGTACGTCCACTGACTCCATAGTTGCATCGCGTCAACATAATGTGAGCCCGTGACTAGTAAAGGTCCCCTCAATTGAGCTAAACTCGGCCTGCACACAACAATAAACTATACCCCTCAATATAGTCCTAAGTTCCCGTCCCGCTTTTAAAAAAATTCTAATCTTTTGGGAAACAGACACTGCTACTAGGCGACGGAGCGGGGGGAGATAACCAGCTTCTATTTAGAAACCTATAGGGCCTCCAGCCTTCAGGTTTCAGCCCCAAGCTCCAGACCCTGCTTTTGTATGGTTGTCAGATCTAAGCCCCTTTAAAAGAAACAATTCCATCAAGTTTTCTAAGGGGTACTATACNNCTATACGATACCTCGAAACCCACAATATAGTGTGGATGAGAAGTACCCCTGAAAAGCGCAGTGCCCTGCAGGGAGCCTCCAGAACGCCAAACCAGAGTCCCTTGCTGTATTCAAAGCCATATAAGGCTTTTCGCCCAGAACAGGCCCAGAAGAAGCCCTGTACAACTACGGTTACTGGTTTGGTACTGTACTACTATTGTTGTGCTACTATTGTTGTACTACTACTACTACTAC